AACTACCTTAATGAGAGCCTTTTTCTTGATGATAAAAGAACTGCCAATGAAAAGCGACGATGAAACGGCTAAAGCGAGTCCAATGTAAAAGTCAGACATCTTCGACGCTGACGTCTCCATCGGTGTCATTTGAGTAGCCATGAACGAATCATTACTTCCCATACTGAAAAGACTCATTGCACTGAAAGTAGGAGAACTTCATTAGATTGTACATACACGCAATACTGGCTAGCCATCACGCCATGCTACATTAGTTGCTTTCACTCAAAGAGAATCTTTCTAAGGGTATAAAACAGAAAGGGATCTTTTTTTGCACAAACATTAGCAAAGCAAACAATGATCTTTAACTAATTTCAAAACTTTGAAAAAACTAGCAAAAATAGATGGATTCTTGCAGCATAGATTGGCATAATGCCATTTGGCAGCTGAGGATTTTACTCTTAGAGTTATCTCCCGCAAGTTGAATCCATCATAGTTGACACGAGTGCAATAAGTGTGATTATTGGAAACAATCGGAAAGGTTTCACAAGATTATGACATATCAAGCTGCAAGAAAAAATTAGATGATCTATAGTTAGCCCGATAATTCCTTAATCCTGGCATATAGTGTCATTAGTTTATCTAGCTTATTTTCAAGCTAGAATGTAAAACAATAAAACCGAGTTATTTCGGCAGTATGGCCTCGTCAGGACCAACTGACATGAAGAAAGGAAAAATGGGTGAAAGTCAAAAAATATAGCTTAGAACTACGCTGCTCCAAATTACAGGACGATAGTGAAAGATAAAACTTTTCTAATAAGCTGTTAGGTGCTTAAGCAGGAAGAGTGCAGTGAACTCAGCTGAACCCTCGAAATATGTGCCACAAAAAGTATAAATACTCCAGTGCATGAATCAAAGTCCAGACTCTTATCTGAGGACGAGCATCGCAGACTACAGTTACGATCCAAAGTGACAGTCACGCAAATAGTTCAGCTAAGTACAACGCACACATTGCGCATCTAGTATGCTAGACGTCTTATCATATGTAAACAGTGGATCATATCGATATGAAAGAGGTGAAAGAAGTGGGTTTTTCATCGAATATCCGATTTTAATCATAAGGTCATAAAAAAGGGAAAAATATGTAAAGAACGGATTCCGAAAAATTTAACACAGCGAACTGATAACTGGGATGAACTAATCAAACGCCACGTGGCCACATCAAAACTATCAACGAGAATCAACTTGAGGAAAAGTCTCAAATCTAACAATTCTTGGCACAATTCATAACGTACAAATTACACTATATGTTATGCTTATTTGCGTGATATCCATCTCCCTCACCCCCTTCTATCTTCCTCATGGAATGAACTCTTAGCTTTAAAGCAGGTGAAAATCACAGGCAACGTAGCCGAAGTCAAGCCCGACTACGGAAATATACAAAGCATCGATTTATGATTTAAATAATTTCACTTCGGACTACGTAATGAAACTTCTCAAAATAGCCAAGCGCTAGAAGCATGGACCATTTTAAGAAGTATCATAAAATTATGGAGCCGAATTATTACAAATAGACTAATAGAATTTCACAA